TTTATTTTCATTATTTGATTTAACACAATTCATGAATAAATTCAGCAAATGTTTAATTTGTGCATGAAGCTAGGAGCCACCAGGGATACAAAGACAAATAAAAATATTTCTGCCCCAGAGAAGCTCTGGTAGCAGATACAAATGCACATACACACACAAACACAAGCATAGTTATAGTCACACATTCACATAATACAAAGTAGAATTATGCAGACAAAAACAATGTTATACAGTATAAAATGAATAAGCAATATCACTCATTTCAAAGAGAAATAAAATTAGATATTCATTAAAAATAGAATAAGCTGCTTTGTTTCGATTTCAGCAAAATAATTATTGGATCAAAATTTCTTCTTAAACTACAAACCAACATGTGCTTTCATGTGTGATTTTATTCATGGAATCCATCATTGTTTAGTGATTACAGCATTTCCCAGTGAGGTGATGACAGTCTATGTTGACTACATTTACCAAAGTGCAGGCTGATTATATTTCTGTTAAACTCTTACAAAACAATTACCAGAAACAGTTACGATTATAATTAAAACTTCTTTCACCTCAACCCAGATAATGTCTTCCAAGCATTTAGCTTTCAAGTTAATGAACAAATGAAAAAGGATAACTTACAAGATTTTTTGCATTTGAAAGTATTAACACACCACTGCCTTTAAATTATACTATCAAAAGAATTATATGTGTGTTGTATGTGAATACAAAAAACAGAGAGCAATTTAATACTTTATGATTGTCTAAACATAGACATTAAAAGGTCATATCAAAGCCAAAATTATCTTTGTAATGTATCCTTAGAGATCAGTACAGATGAGTAATTTTGATGTGAATAATTTGTTATATCTATTGAATAATCAACATAGATTCAGCACAAGAACTATTTTGAGCCTTTTATTAATATGTTTGCTTGGTCTTTACAGTTTAAAAGCACATTCACATCTTTTCCCTCATTCCAAAACATAACAACTCTTCAAAAATAATGGTGATTTTTATGTTCAGCTTTTATAGAAGAAAACTGCAGTTAATAGGACCAGTTATTAGCAGAAGTATGGACACTTTTCCTGAATTCTTTCTAATATCTTTTGTTATCTCTTCTATGTATAAAGTATTTAGTGAAGGGTACAGAGCACATCAAAATGTTTCTGCATAACTAAACTGTATTGCTCTTGTCTGTTTGCAAAAGATGGGCATCTGTATTGCCCCCTTTGAGTGTGGCTATGACCCTGTAAAGAAATAGGTCAAATTTTCAGGGAGTTTAAACTCTAATAAGAAAATGGTGAAACAACAACATCCTATAAGACAGCATTTGACTGGGGCTTTGGTTGATCAAAGAAGCAGGAATTATATTCAGCTAGGAAGACAGAAAAGACAGCTTGGATTTCGAAGATAACTGAAACAAATTGATAGATGAAGCCAAATGAGGACTATGCCTCTTCAAAGTCTGGTCTTAGATGGGTTCTTTGAAAATCTGCTATGCTTTCTTGGCCAGAGATTTTACTAGAGAGAAAAAAAAGAAATATTATTTTTTCAAAATTAAAAATAAATATTTCTGAAATCATTAGAGACGGATTGGGTATGCCAGACCAAAGGACTTTCTAATAAATGTCAATCTTCAACAAAACACTTAGGTGTCATAAGGAAATGATAAACACCGTGGCCTATGTTGAAAAAGTTTGGCTTTAGAAAAATAATAAAATTCAGAACCCTTTTTACCACATAAAATTACAATTGTCCAACCCCAAATTTCCATCCCTCTGTCTTTTGTGAAGTACTAACACGAGGTCTTGATAGCTGGGACATTTTGAACAGCAACACAGTGATCTAAACTATAAAGAAAGCCGAATGATGAGCATAATAAAAAGCACTGCTAGAAGAAAGAGTAGAGAGTCAAACCCAGAGTAGCCAAATCCTTTTTTTGGTCCATAAGATCAGCCATAGTAGAGGTAACAGAGTAGAGCAGGAGGTGTGATTAACGTCATAAAAATTCAGACCTTCTTAGTGTTCAAGGTAGTCAGTCCATCATCAGTGGATGCTGGTCATAGGTGTGTGGGTAGATTAGCCTAAGGTCGGGAACCATAAACAGCAATGACACATGGAAGGGAAATTAATAACACCTACAATTTTCAATAGGAGTTAAATTAAGGAGGTTTTGTATCTCTGTATCTCTTTCCTAATTTCCTTTCCTTTTAATCTAGATACCTGAGTCATCTTCTTTAGATTAACCAGTTTTTTAAATCACTATTTTCCAACTCAATTTGGATGATAATTTTCTAGATTTAGAAAGAAAAATCTTGGTTAGATTTTACAATAGCCACTTTATAGACTTCCTAGGAATCTTGTGCTAAAAGTTACATAGACTTCAAAGAAAAGGGAAGAATTTATGTTACTGTACTTATTTCCATTAGTACACTTGTACACATACATGAAGATAAAAAGTATAGGCTTCAAAGCAGAATTTGCTTACTTGCTATGTGAGTTATGTGGTTATAAGGAAAAATATGAAGCTAATAAACTGGTAGGAAAACATCCGTGAATATATAATATTTGTGTCTATGTATATGAAATAAATACCTTTAAGAGAAAATCAAAAAAGCCCAGGTTTTGTCCATTGTTAGTCAGATTTTTTTCACTGTGACCAAAACTACCCAACAAGAACATCTTAAAGGAGGAAAAGTTTAGTTGAAGCTTATTATTTCAGAGGTTCAGTCCAAGTTGGCTGACTCCATTGCTTTGGGCCTGATGTGAGGCAGCAAATCATGGCGGAAGGATGGGTAACAAAAGCTTCTCAGTTCATGGCAGCCAGGGTAGCAGAGTGAGAAGCCAAGGACAAGATATTGTCTGTGGCCACACCCCCCCCCCTTACCTATCTCCTCTAACCACACCCTACCTGCCTACAGTAGTCCACCTAGGAGTTCATTCAAATTAATCCATAAAATGGATTAATCCATTAATGAAATTACAGCTCTCATAAACTAATCATTTTATCTCTGAATGTTCCTGTATTAACACATGAGCTTTTCAGGGGACACCTCATATCCAAACCATAACAATTATTTTCCAAGGATGACCCTTGTAATTATTTTTAACCCTTGTTAAATCCACCAGCTCTTTTCCTCTTCTGAAACAAAGCTTCATCTCCACAAGTTTTCCCACTGTCACTCCCTGATGTGACCAGGCCTTTTGTTCTGTGCTCACCATTGTTACTATTGTTGAGACTTCAACACATTCACAATGAAGAGCACACTGTCTCCTTTTCGTATGCAATAATAGCACACGTTTATTCAGTCCTGAATGGTTTTCAAACTATTTCCAAAATATAAGCTTTGTTCATTCTCACAGCAAATCCCAGAGGTAGATATTTTTATAAATACTTTTGTATAGATGAGAAAAGAGTAACTTAATGTGCTTAATCACCTGATCAAAAGGCCAAAATATAGTCTTAAATCAAAGTCCATAGTTCCACTGGTAACTGAAGTAGCAATGAAATCCTGTCCAATGATAGTAGGGCCAGGGAATACCCCATCCTACTGTCTTATTTTCAACAAACTATATTATTTGAAGCAGTAAAATATAAAAATGCTTAGATACACATTTATTTAGAGAAATAATTATTATTACTAACTTAAACAACTTACGGGAACAATATTTGCTAATTTATACATATTTTTATCAGCATTTGTTGACTCACATATTACTCATATCTGAAGTTTTATGCTGAGTCAAAAATTATATAATCAATGCTTATTTTTCTTCTAACTTGTATCATGAAAAAAAATGAGGAATGAAGAGCCCAGACTCTTTTGACTCTATAAATTATCTTTATTGCCATAAAACTTCAACAAATAAGCTCTAAATATAACATCTTTTAAAATTCAAATCAAATGATGGAATGATATTCTGGTAAAATAACAATAATCAAAATGAATAGAAGCACCCAACTTTTAAGATACGTGGGAATAAGTTAGAGAAGGAGAAGTATGAGATGATCTCATTTCTTCAATATCCAGTGCATCCTGATACTTTTAGAGGAAATGAAAACCAACCACCATGGGAAATAATTGCTGCACCATCAGCATGATTTCCGTCAGGTGAGCTTTTGTAAATGCAGTACGCAGATCCTGGCAATTAGAGGGGATCCTGTAAATGAAGAGTGTGGCTTCACTTGTCGAGCACTTATTATTGGCAAGTCACTATACTAACAGTTTGATTTACTGCTACAAACCTTGAAAGTCTGAGAAACATTCATCCTAATCTCAGGAAAGAGAAAACTGAAGCTCAAGAAGGGTGTATCATTTCCCCTATGCACAGCATCACAAACCCATTAAATGGTGACACTGGACTTGGAACCCAGTTGTCTGACACCAGGATTTATGCTCTTAACCATTGCAGTTAATCACACCTGCCAACTTCATTTAGGCTTTAAAATTTCAGAGGATTGTTCACATAAATATGTCAGGTAAAGAAAACATAATTATTTTTGTACTTTTGTTCTTAGTAAGGCTCTTTTTTCCCCTGTTTTCCCCTTAGGTTTGAATTTATCAATAAGACTCCCTTAGGTTTGTTCTAGTACAAGATTGTTCTATTCTCCTTTCTTGAGTGAACAATTTCTATCTTATACATGATTTTTGCCCTTTGTTTTTGATGCTTTCCTTTCAGAGAGAATATCCCTCTTAAAAAGGACTGCCTATAAAATAAAGGAGTAAGAAAGATCCATGTTTTTATATAAATCTTTATTTATATACTACTACCATTTAGATTCCCTAATTTTTGCTAATTACATTAAATAATGAATATGCTAACATGCAAACTCCCATAGACATGTGTACACAATTTACATGATCTAACAAATTCAACTGAAAATATAATATTACCTTACCTTCTAATATGCCTTAAAACATACAGAGTTTACCCAGTCATGGTTTTTCATGGTTTATCCAAATGACTCCTGAGCAAGTCAAGGTAGTAGTCATTTGCTTTTTTCCCCCTAGAAGCTCAGAAGAAGCAGTTGGAAGAGACTATAGAGCTGATCCAAGATGAATGTGTGTCAGAGAATGCAGATCACTCTACAGAGGAGCCTGCTGAAGGAGGGCAAGATGCAGATGGAGAAGAGATGACTGATGGGATAGAGGAGGACTTCGATGAAGATGGGGGTCATGAGCTGGTAGGAACTAATTGTTTGGTGAACACATCCACTGGATAACAGCACCAGCATATTAGCAACACATTCATTCTAAAATGAGAATTAAATCATTGGGGGCTCATTTGTTCTTATATGCATATATTCAAGGGAACATCAGTATAGTGCCTTGTGCATAATAAGTGCTCGACTTCAAATATGAGGGTGTAAAAAATGAATAATATAAATATTACATATTTGCTTAGGAATATCTAAAGTTCCAAATGAAATATCTGAAATACTTTTATTCCCAAATGCTCAATTATGAAAGCGATCTTGCATTTGTACAATTAGAAATTAACTGTACATGGACATAATATGCTGGTGACAAAAGACTATTTACTGAAGACACATGGCTCCTCCTTTAATAGTGTCACTCATAAATGACAATTTTCTATACTAGTTATGTGGTCAACAGGCCTCTGTATAGTCTTTTTACTAAGATGATCCCTGAGTATGTGTTGAGCTCATCATTTCCAGTGTCTGTGCTGCTTGGTAATCTGTCATGATGATCTGGGAATTTAGATATGACTTGATTTTTTATATTTTTTCCTCTCAATGTTCTAATCACTATACTGCTCATTTCTAATCACCATTTCCTGCATAAACACACAAGGAACTTGGTAAATATGTGCTGATTAGGCTGTTATTTCTCATATTTTATCAACCATGAAATTAAATATACTATCTCAAAGGACCTGACTAATAAAACAGTACATGGGCAACTGTGTGTGTGTGTGTGTTTGTGTGTGTGTGTGTGTGTGTGTGTGTGTATCTCAAATACCTATAGATTGATGATATAAAACTTAGATTATCCTAGGTACTACAGCTTCCAATTTATTTTAATACCTATATTACTTAAGTAATTTTGTAAAATATCTGTCACTATTGTTCTGGGATGGTAATAAACTCATTCACAACTATAAATACAGCCTAATTTTACAGAATTCTATACTGACTTCGAACATTCCAGTTCTACCTAAATTTCATGGCAACTTTAAACTTCTCAAATATGAGCTTTGAACAACCCACTTCTATTTCTACAAAATTCTGCTAAAATTTGAGGGACTTAAGTACCATTTTTAGAATTAGATTAATTTCAGGACTATGTTCATTAAGCACTAGAATGAAGGACAAAGAAACTCCTCAGCTTTAATTCTACAACAGGACTTCTTCAACTCATTTTAATCCAACTTCTGGTTCAGCATTCCATTGTGGCTCGTCTTCCAGGACTTTATGTTGTCATTCCCAATGGATACCTCTCTGGTTTTATTTTAATTTACTTCTCAGCAGGATTTTACATAGCTAGCCTCTTCTGTCTCCTGAGAAATTTTCATAATTACCAATCTCTCATTTTTAGTTTCTTATGCTAGAAATGTTCCCTTCATATTTTCACTTTAAATACTGGAATAGCTCAGAACAGAATACCAGAGCTTTCCATATTATCTATAGGACAAGGATTCCTAAATCTACATCATTATTACTACTGCCTGTTCCCACATAGATTTCCAGTAAACTATTGAAACAATATGGCCAGAAAAAGAAGCAGAGGAAGAAGAAGAATTGGGGAACCCCACCCCCCACTATCTTATTTTTTTCCTAGTCTTCCTCATTCTGGCCATCCACACAGATTATTTATTGTTTACCCTGTGCTTCCTGTTCATTCTTTCAAATCATAGCCCAAAGCTAGTTACTTCTCTGTTGCATTCCCAAAAAGGGAAATAAAAAGCACAAATCTTTTCTCTCCTGAAAGACGGCAATATAGATTTGAAGAGCAACAATGCAGTATAATATTCACTAGGAGACAGAAAGGAGAGCTGGCATCCACACGCCCTGGTGGCGGCTCAAGGCAAATGGCTCTCAAGAATGCCTTCCTGAGAGAATGAATGTGAAACTACTACAGGCACAGAATCAAAGCAGATCCAGCAAAATGAGCTGGGAGAATGACTTAGAGTGATGGTCTCCCTTGTGAAACAGGACACAACACAGCTTGTGCAGACAACATCTAGTCCTAATCACCTAGAGAAATGATTTCCATGAAGCAGTCTCTTCAGTGAACATTTTGGGAGCCCACTGCATGTGAATTGAGTGAGAAGGAGGAGTCAGGAGAGGGAGAGGAGGAGCAGGAGAAGGAGGGGGAGGAGGAAGAGTAGGGGGAGGGAGAGGAGGAAGAGAAGGGGGAGAGAGAGGAGGAGGAAGAGAGAGGAGGAGGACAGGGAGAGGGGGAAGGAGGAGGACAGGAAGAGAAAGAAGGAAAAGAAAAAGAAGGCAAAGATAACTAAAATGATTACAAATTATTGCTTTAAGGGTGGAATGCAATGTTTGAGAAAAGGGTTTCTTTAGTGTCAAGTAGTTTAGTGTCTTTTATAGAGAAATGAACTGATTTTCCTCATCTATAAAAAATAGACTCAGAATTGATAGTTTATACAAAACTAGTCAAGGCTAAAAGACTGTGATTCTGTCATGATCTAAATCCATAAATTTTATTAGTGCATAGAAATCAATATTCAAATTTACTTAAAATTGAACTATGTGTATTGATACACTAGGCATAACAGTGTCAAATCACTACTATGTTCCTATTTCTCAATAAATCTATTAGCTAATCTTTATCAATGGATCACTGATGAATGGCACTGAGACTTGTTCTTTGGGAATAAAGAAGGAAAATCATGTTTTTCCCTCAAAAAGGATTAACTCACTGAAGATAAAGGTCACAGACCAAAATACAAGATAGTATAAATGGGGCAGTGGGAGTAAGGGCAATAGGGGAGATATATATGGCTTACAGGTGAGAAATCACACGTAGCTGGCATGGTCAATAAGGACTTCCTGTTAGAAGTGGGATTGGAACTTCACCTCGATTGATACCAAATTAAAGAAACAACAAGTATTAATTAATGTCAAGGAAAGAATTTAACCTTTGTTGCACTCAGATCATTTTATGGAAGATATATATGAAATTCAAAATGCATTGGATATTTTACATGATAGGCAAATAGGTAGGTAAGTCGATAGGCAGACAAAGAAATATTTTTAAAATAAAACTCCTGTCCAGGTGCTGTGTTGCATGAATGTAATCCCAGAGAGTCTGCAGGCTAAGGCAGGAGGATCAGTAGTAGTTCAAGGCCAGCCTTGGTAGTTTAGTGAAGCCCTAAGCAACTTAGTGAGATATTGTCTCAAAATAAAAAATAAAAAGGGATGGGGATGTAGCTTATTGGAAAAGCACTCCAGAGTTCAATCCCCAGTTCCAAAAAAGAAAGAAAGAAAGTAAAATTACTAGCAACTTCACAAGCTTTTCTATTATCTTTACTCATTTCCACCAAATTTGTGTTTCTCTTTGTTTAAAATAACATAGTCCAAAATAAAAGTGGTCCATGTCATAACAAAGATACTATAATAATAGTATAATAACATATAATAATAATATATAATTATATATAGTATAATAATGTATAATATATATAATGATAATATATAATATGTAGTATAATAATAATAAGTGCTTAGGACCCTGCTAATTCAAAATGACCAATGAACCTTCCTCAGCTGTGCAAAAAAGGCTACTACAGAGTAGTCTAGAGTAACACTCTAGAACACCACAGAGCTGCCAGGTATGTTATGGAGCTTTACAGAGGCTAATCTTGGGATTTCCTAAGCTAAATTCTTGGTCAACTTAGATCCAATGCCTTGAGTGCTTGCTTAAAATGATGATATAGATCATCTAGGGAAACCACCCAGGAGTCTGTACTTTGATCAGGCTGAAGTTTAAAACTAAAACATCAATTCACAAAGGAAACTACAGACAAGGGAAATATTTAAATGAATTGGGAGAAGTTGAGTTATTTTGAATTGTACTTGTAATGACTTTTGCTTTTGATTACTATACCTAATCAAATTAGGCAAATATAGTAAGAATCCACAGTAGAATAACCTTGCTGGATTGTATAAATACTTAGGTATGCAAACTGAGTACTACATTGTAATGCATCTTTCAGGATTTAACAAAGCATTCAACTAAGCAGTAAGTCACCTGAGTTTACTAGCTATTGAATTTCTATGCACATTGGGGAAGGTCTGGACCACAAATCTAATTCCTGCAATTGAAGAGAACTCAAAGTAAGCATTCTGGTGAACCATTGAAAAACTGGAATGCATAAAGCATTCTGATCAATATTCGCTTTCTTTATGATCAAAACTGAAAATGTCTCCATCTTTCTGAAACCTTTTGTTCCTTTTCTAACAAAAACCTTCACCTACATGTCCCCCTTATCAACTGTGCTTCAATTTATTTTTTTTTTATCATTTAGACTGAATGCTAGCTAGAGAATAAACAAGAGCTTGTGGGACATGTACCCCAAAGGTAGTACTACACAAATTCATTAGATGTGTAAATCACAAGGAAGCCAGAAACTGGTTACTGAATCTTTGATTTGGGACATATATTTCAGCACCACATCCAACAACTAGAACTCTGTCAATACATCATATGCTATTTCTCTGTCCTCCTTACAAAAATATTGAGGGCTTACAGAAAGCCATTTCATAATTTGGATGGAGTTAGGGATAGTATGAACAACCATAGTGCATGTGTCCCCTACAAATGGCCTGGCCTGGGTGCCTTGATACTGAGACTTGGGTCAGGGCCATGACCACCAGGTCTTTTCCAGCCAGACACTCCACACCAGAAATAGAATATGGCTAAGCCTTTGATGTTAGGTACAGGTTGTGATAGGAAGACATCTCTGCCACTGGTTTTTTACCTTGGAATCCTAGTTCTTCAGAGCCATCTATAATAAGGGCTCCACATCATGATTTAACACTTGCAACTCTTGTAATTTCAATCATTTCCATTTCAGCTAAAGAGCTCTGCACAGCTCATTAGGGCTTTTTCCCTCGGAGGGTGGACAACTTGACTCATACAAAAGAGTTCTGTCTGTAGACTGACAGAAGCAAGCCCAAATCCCTGTATCTTGATGCAGGGT